ATCGTTAAAGATCTTTCCAGAATACGGTGACTTTCTACTGCTCAGGGCCGGATACGGTCTTTTTCTGCTGTGGTTCCTGAAGGATACGATGTTTTCTCTTATGGCTTCCGGCGGATCGCTGCTGTTTCGGGATGGATATGATGTGGTTTCCGGTGTTTTGCGGTGAGCGGAAATCTTTCGGAATAGGGTGGTTCCGGGTGCGGAGACTTTCCGGCCGGAATACTGCCATCCTGTTCCGGTGACTTTTTCTGGTCGGTTCCGGGAGGAATTACGCGGGAACCGGTGGGAATTGGCCGGAAAATAAGTCGGTTCCCGCTGGTTCCGGCCGGATCCGGCTGCCGGAATCATCGACCTGGGTTCCCATCACTCTTCCTGCGACAACAAAACTATCATTTTCCATTTCACTTTTTGCATCGTTTAATACGTTGTTTTAAAAAAACAAAATATACCACGAGATGCAGCGTGAAAAGAACTACAATGTATAAAGTAAAGCTTATTTTAATTGTGTACTTTCTGTTTTCAAAAAAAGCAAAATCCTGTGCGACCAATTTTCGACCTAGCGAAAATATCATTTTTTCTTACCTTATCTTTTTATCATCTAATTTGCTTTTGAAAAAAGAAAGACAAAACATATCAGAAGATGCAGCGTGAAGAGCTCTACAATATGTAAAGTAAGGCTTATTCCAATTGTGTACTTTTTGCTTTCAAAAAAAGCAAAATTCTGTGTGATCAATTTTCGACGCTGTGAAAAAATAATATTTTTCTATGCAACGAGGAATTCCTTTTTCCTTATTTCATCTTTTTATCTACTGATATGTTTGTGTAAAAAAAAAAAATATATACCAAAAGATGCAGCTTAAAAAATTCTACAATCTACAAAGCAAAACTTATTTCAATTATGTACTTTTGATTTTCAAAAAGAGCAAAATTCTGTGAGACCAATGTCTGGCTCTGCGAAAAAATCATTTTTCTACATGAACGAGAAATTCCTTTCTTCTTATTTGAATAAATTGTTCTGTGGAAATTATAGAGCTTTTCACGCTGCATCTTTTAGTATATTTTCTTTTTTTTTACAAAAACGTATTAGTTGATAAAAATTTGAATTAAGGAAAAAGGAATTTCTCGTTGGTATAGAAAAAAAATGATTTTTTTCGCAGCGTCGAAAATTGGTCACACAGGATTTTGCTTTTTTTGAAAACAAAAAGTACACAATTAAAATAAGCTTTACTTTATAGATTGTAGTTCTTTTCACGCTGCATCTCGTGGTATATTTCGTTTTTTTTAAACAACGTATTAAACAATGCAAAAGTGAAATGAAAAGTGATAGTTTTTTGTCCGAGGGAGAGTATGACGAGACAATCATACGTTCAGTAATATAAATAACGAGACAATCCCTTTACTTTTGTTTCATATAAAATTTGAAAGGAATATGGGGAAACTGGACGGTAAAGTTGCTCTTATTACTGGTGGATCGGAAGGAATCGGTCTTGCTACTGCTCAAGAATTTGTTGCTGAAGGTGCTTATGTCTTTATTACTGGACGTCGAAAAGAAATTCTCGATGCAGCAGTCGAACAAATCGGTGGAAAACATGTTACTGCTATTCAAGCTGATGCAGCTAAATTAGATGATATTGACCATGTCATGAAAGTGATTGAAAAAGAAAAAAGACAATTACATATTGTATTCGCAAATGCCGGTATATTAGGTTTTGCACCATTAGGATTAATTCCAGAAACACTTTTTGATGATATATTTGATGTTAATGTTAAAGGTGTATTATTTACTGTTCAAAAAGCTTTACCTATCTTGGTTGATGGTGGTTCAGTTATTCTTAATGGATCTATATGGGGGAGTAAAGGTACACCAGAAGCAAGTGTTTACAGTGCAACAAAAGCTGCTCTTCGATCGTTTGCTCGTTGTTGGACTGTAGATTTAAAAGATCGAAAAATCCGTGTTAATTGTCTTAGTCCAGGTGGCATAGATACTCCTATGTTAAGAACTGCCGGTGGTACAAAAGAAACTTCAGAAAAAGTTATGAACTACCTCGCATCAATGTCTGTTATGCATCGTCTTGGTTGTGCATCCGAGATTGGTAAAGCAGCTGTATTTCTCGCTTCAGATGATAGTTCATATGTAACTGGTATTGAACTTTTTGTTGATGGTGGTACAGCACAAATCTAAACTTTTTCTATTAACCCATTCACCATGATTCAGTTTTCTTGGAGAATTCTTCGAAATATTCATTTCTGTCAAAAGTTAACTTCTAATAAATGCACTTAGTGATCTTTTCATTATCTTCTACTGATTATTCATTATTCTCTTCTTTGTATCATCGCATAATGAGTCATTTTTTTTGCGATCATACGAAAAATCCCTCCCTTAAGGGGGCGGGTGGGTGGGTGTGGGCCTGGGTCGATGTGGGNATGAACCTAATCCTTTAACAAAAACAAAAAAAACAACTGACTAGAGAAAAGAAAAAGAAAAGAGATGATATGGAAAATAAGAAGGAGGATCGATCATCTATATATATATATGTATATATAGATGTCGGATCCTAACCCCTCCCCCCACACAAAAAGTTATACGAACATCTCTAACAGCAATATCTGTTCGTATAACTGCGAAGACGGTTACATAATACGATCACAAAGAATATAAAGCCAGATATAAACTTGAAAATGAGAAAAAAGACAAAAAAAATAAACAAATGAATACCATAAATGAAAAAAATCAAAAATAGATTAACCGGTAAATAGATAGTTATAAAGAAAACAAACAGACAATGTAACATATTGATAACTTGTTGATTACCTCGATATGGAACCTATTGTGTTGGAAATTGTTGTTTAATAATTCTCATTGAACGTGAATAAATAGGAGATGGTTTTGAAGAAGAGTGGGAAAGTCGTTTTAATTCTTGAGTACCAACATTGCAATACATATTAACACGATTGCGATCAAATATTCGATTATAAGTTTGCCTTTGATCTATATTAGTTTGTGAATTTTGATACCAATTAGATAAGGTTCTTGTAAAATATGGAAAATAATCATTTGACTTGTCAAATGTATAAATAGCCTTAGGCTTTTCTGATATTAAATCAGTTTGATGACGACTAACATTAAAATCCTGACGTTTTGAACAAGATTGAATATAACTCTTAATAGTTGTTTTCATATCTGGGCACCAGTATTTATGTTTCAATTTAAAATAAGTTCTACGAAAACCAGAATGACCAGTCCATGATACAACATGATAAGCCTTTAATAATTCGGGCAAAATTGTAGAGGGTGTATAAATCAATTTTTGTATAAATGTATTATGCTTAAATAATTTGTATAAAATTCCATCATTAAGTATATAAGAACAATTGGTTTGACCTCTTTTGAGTTCCAGAACTTTTTCTTGATATAATTTATCACCTTTTTGAGCTTTACTAATAATGAAAACATCAAACGCATGACCAACCACTTTCTGTGGTTGATCATCTGTTGATGATGTTGTAGCAGAAGTAGCATTAAGATCAACTAATTTATGTGGATTAGTTTTTGCTTTTACTTGAGTTGTAGTTATAACTGCACTAGTAATGTGAGGACTAATAGCAACACCGACAATAATATTTTGTTTTAAATAACATACTTTAGAAGTTGGATTATAAATTGAAATCCACGCCACATGATTCATAACTGAAATTGATGAGTATGGACTAATTAAACCTTTTTTATAAATAAGATGATAAGCAGGAGAAAATAGTAGTCGTCCAGACGACCTTTGTGTAGAAATTTTTATTCGTTTTTCTTGATATGGATAAATACATGTTGGATTAATTAATCGACATGACATTCTAATACTGCCAGCTTGATCCTCCATTGGAATCGTGATCTTATTGTTAAATGTATGAATTTGAATTTGTTTTTCTTT